GTAATGTGTTATACTAAATATAAATGAGTAAAAAGTATAGTATAATATGTATATAGTATAATATTTTTAGTATTTTTAAGTCGTATATCCTATATTTATATTTCAGTGCTTATTCCATTTTATTCCTTTTAAAATCCAACTGAAAGTCCTATAAATCGAATAAGAAGAGCGTCGCCCATATTTGGGTGACGGGGCACCCGCGGAAGCATACCCGTCACCCAGATCGATAAATTTTTTAAATAAATAATTTTAAATAAATTTAACCTTGACATAACCTGAACGTCAAGAAGCGAAAAAAAATGTAGAAAAAACTACGACCTATTGTTCGAATTGTCCAAAATCACCTCAAATGTGTTTAGAATGTTTCAACGCACACCATACGACATAGTACAATGTAATGTGTTATACTAAATATAAATGAGTAAAAAGTATAGTATAATATGTATATAGTATAATATTTTTAGTATTTTTAAGTCGTATATCCTATATTTATATTTCAGTGCTTATTCCATTTTATTCCTTTTAAAATCCAACTGAAAGTCCTATAAATCGAATAAGAAGAGCGTCGCCCATATTTGGGTGACGCGGTCCCCGCGGAAGCATACCCCGTCACCCAGATCTGGGTGACGCGGCGACGAACGTGTTAATCTACTCCGAGAATAAAAACAAAATGGACAGGCGGCGACGAGACGAAGTTGCGAAAGGATCGGGAGCGCCGCGCCATGCAGACCCACACGCGTCGGGGTAAATATAACAACGTCCCGCCTGGGTCACGGCTAATCGGTTGATCGTGCATGCCACCGACCGGACAATGCTAAGGCTATCATCGATCGCGCGATGTGCAAACACCTTTATTTCCACCTGTCGCTGCCGTTGATGAGGATCGACGCGTTCGCCACGGAATTGCTACGACGGTTTTCCTGTTCTGTTTGCGAACTCGAATCAAATCCAATGAATAAACATTTCCAGTATTATATAGAAAAAGGTAACTTTTTACATCGAAACATATGCGGCAGTTTCATTGTATGAGCCGTTTATTTTGAAAGTGGCATAAGTCACTTTACCAGAATGAAAAGTGGTGATTTTTTAATGTTTATACGAAATTATTTATACTGAGAAAAATATCAGTATCCTGAGATAACAAGTACAAGTAAATCTTCTCGAAAGTTAGCATCCATATTTTTAAACGTATTAAAACGCAAACCCTTAAATATATCGACCTAAAAACAAAGTGACTTATGCCACTTTCAAAGTAAACGGCTCATATGCGGACACCATTTAAAAGGGAATACAGTAAATTCTTCCTAATCGACGCTCAGATTGTACGCAAAAATGGACAATTTTGGAAGAAGAGATACGATTATTCGAGCTTTGCGGCTCGTTTTTAATAGTCACAGATTGTCAACAATTATAAAAACGAGCTGCAAGACCCGAATAATCGTATCTTCTTTTTCGAAATTGTTCATCTTTGTGCACAATCTGCGCGTCAATTAGGGAGAATTTATTGTAACTTGCTTAAAAGTGGACCAAACAATTTGAATTCTTTTGAGATGTTGGAAGGACCAGTTTACTGGACAAATGTGTAACAAAATTTTTGCGAAAGTAGTAATTGGGTAAAATGACAAAAAAGATCACATTATTCAACTTCTTTATCCGGGCATACAACGCGAAGTCAAACAATGTATTTTTTTAATCTCGTTAACTTATACGCATGATAAAAATTTGAATTTTCGTTATATTTTTAACACGTTCCGCGCGCCACGTGTACCGCCGATGGTACATGCTTACATGTTTACTTAATGGGCTAAAAAAATAGTTTATGACAAATTTCGAACTGTAGAATGAATTTCCACCACAAGAATGGGTCATAACAAGTTTGTTTCTCATCGTTATTTATACGATAATTAATAATTACATATAATATATCAAGTTTTAGTAAAATAACAAATGACCAATGTGAAGAGTCGAGTAAAAACAGCTCGGCATGAAACGCGTTAATTGTTTGTAGCTGTAGTTGATAACCGCGTTGACTTATTTCGGCGAAATCTTCGGCATGCACATAGGTTATCGTTAACTAAAAAATCCATCTTTTAAATCTTCGTTGTACATGCTAAAGAATTTTTTCGTCGTTCCACCAAATTGCAATTTTTGCCAAAATTTCTTTATGCACTGTTTGTCTAGCAAACTAGTTCTTCTGTCATTTCGCGCGAAAGAATTCAAATCGTTTAGACGTAATTTTAGGAAAGTTATTCCGTTTTAGAAAGTGTCAACATATATTTTGTCCACGCCTGAATAAATGATTTTAGTGAAACTTTCATGAAATCGTTTAAGACTTACCCCAATATTCCTGCTGTTATGTAAATGACGTATATTTCACTGCTATTGAGGGTGAACGTGAAGATGATCATGCCGAGGAACGAGAGCAGGTACACTCCAAGCGTTGTTTCTCTGTAAAAACATGTTCAGCGAAATTTAGAAGTGAAATTTTAGCATTAAATTCGCTTCGAAACTAATACGGCGCTACAAAAATATTTATTTACTTGAATCTGTGCGTTTTATCGAGAACAATCCCGCACACAACGGATCCCAACATTCCGGCGCAAACGATAGTTAAACCTATTCTTCCAGCGTCCTTCTCGTGGTGCTGTAAAACCAGACATCGTATAATCCTGTAGTATACTATTTGTTGCTTGCTTTTAAATCGTGAAAATTAAAATACACAAGAATGTGTGACATTTCTCGTTCACCGATTACAAAAACAGTTCATTTTCACTATCGACTGTTACATTATTAAAAATCCTCTTATCTACCCAGTAGATCACGAATTCTACTTAACCGTTTAACTATTTACCCACATTATTAATGCACGAAAAATCCAGAAGAGGTGGACACAAAGTAAAAGAATGATATTTTCGATCTCGTCCTCATTAGCCAATTAAAATGATCGTTCTACCGAAGAACCGTTTCGAAGAGTAATTAATGCAAAGGAAGAGCCAGCTGACTTACCGGGAAATACATGAGAACGATTTGATTCAGAAGCGTGCTGATGGCGTAGAAAATGCCGACATTGATACCATAACTCAGCAGAAGCAACAAGTAGCCGACGTTCGTGACTAGCTTCTTCACGGAATGGAAGAAATTCTCCGTGTCGTCCGAATCCCTCTGTACTGCTTGCGCAGGACTTGGCGGTAGCGGTGGCTCCGCTTTGAAAACTGCAGACAGATCGAATTATTTCATTAGAATGTTAGTAGTTTAGGTCACTCGCGAGTCTGGAAAACGAAAAGAAAACAATCGCGCGGTCCATTAATTTACAGATTGAATTACGCACAGAAAACTATGAGGATTAGAATCACTGTGGTAAAGGCAGCCACGATGTAGAACATGAGTTGCAATCCTCGACCCACGACAGAGACATCATCGCTGCTTGGAACCAGCATAGGAGGGAAGAGGAAACCAATAGCGATGCCCAACTACAAATCAGAAAAGTTATGCACGATGTAATTTATTTTACATGTATACATATGTGTGATATATTTTACATATATAAGATTAAACATTATATACAATGATTATACAAAAATTGTACATTATACAATAATTATACCGAACTATAGGATAGTTGTAAAGCGTTACATTTCAATTTTGAATGCGAACAATTTTGGAAGCGTGATCTGCATATTTCATTTATCGTAATGGATATTCTGTTCAAACAAAGAAATTGGTCACAGTTAGTTCTATGAAACTCTTGTCTTAACAAAGAATTATGTCTTAGGGCAACCCAGGGAGCTTAATGAAATACAATGAAGAGAGGTACGCTAACAAATATATTAAGCGAACAGAATAACTTGATGACGTCTTTCGTTGATTCGAAAATCATCTTGAAATTGCCCTGTCGAACTGTACAAAAAATACTGTACTTTGACAGCGATTCTACCGTACTTTGAAAGCGATCAAGTCTAAACAAGTTTAATCAAGTTTAATGTATTATCTTAATTCACTTTTCTCCTTATATGAAAATACGATGTATTACATTCTAATATTTATTCTTGCATTTTCATATCATCCTCGCTTGAGAGATAAAAGCAAGTACACTGTTGGGTCAATGCAACATTAGTCAGAAAATGATTCACACATCTCGTAAGATTCGTTCGCGAATCTGTAAAAAGACAAAGCAACGCAGCAAATAGATAGCACAGAGAAGAGGCTGTTAAAGTTTCCGTAGATTCGATTCAATGAATAGCGCGAATCTGAGGAGAAATGACCGAGGACCGGAATGTTGTTACACGATTGTAGCTCTTGTTTCAAGGAAGTAACAGATCATTATTCTTTTCAGCTCATCACGAGCGATTCCAACGAGAGTTCCGCTCTCGAAAGCTCGGCGAAGTTCTCTGACATGCTGGACACATCCTCGTCCACAAGGTCAACAGCCCGTCAATAGTCCGTTTTATGCTTTCAGTAACGCGCGCGTTAAGCATCGCACTGACACTAATTCGAATGGATGCCGCACTTATTTGACCCTTCGAGCCTTGTGGCATCTTTCACCTCGAGTGGAACGTAACCTTTAACTGGCCCGATGATTTTTACGAAGATAGCTAGAATTGTCTTTTTTTATATTGAATTTTTATATTTTTTATATATTGTCTTTTTGTTATTGAAATAACAGAAACAAAAAAGGAACTAAACTTTCACCAGAAAATAGAACAGTAAAATAGCCAATATGATTAAAATTAAGTCTCAATTTGAATTCAGATTCAAGTTTGATTTTTCTGCTCTTTAAATCTACAGATTCTACTCAATTGTTATCTTATTTAATTTGATTTGAACAAAACTCAGCCGTTTCATTGAGAAAAGCTTGAACTTTCACCAGAAAATAGAACAGTAAAATATAGCCAATATGATTAAAATTAAGTCTCAATGTGAATTCAGATTCAAGAGTTTGATTTTTCTGCTCTTTAAATCTACAGATTCTACTCAATTGTTATCTTATTTAATTTGACTTGAACAAAACTCAGCCGGTTCATTGAGAAAAGCTTGAAAACTTTAAATCTAAATGTCTCGAAAGCAAAATACTTTTGTCGGAAATGCTAAACGTAAAAGTCACTCGATTTCAAGGAACTATTTTCATTCTCATTTTCAGTCGTTTTGATTTTTGTCGATCGAGTAACGTTTGTATTTCACATTATTCCCGAAAATAATGTTGTTTTCGTGACATTTAGATATACAGTTTTCAAACGAGCAGCCCGTATACCTAATAATACATCGATAAGAGCGAAACAACTCCTGATACTCGATCGTTGATCACCGATCCAACGATCACTTTCGGCTGTTATCTACATAGCTCGTGAAAAAATGTCAAAGTACAGCGACGATGCGCGTTCGTTACACAATTTCTAGCATAAAATGCTAATTTCGCAGCATCTGGTTGTCTAATGCGGAAGCAGAAAATGAAACACGATCGAGGGGGTTTCACGCACTGGGATAGATCAGAAGGGCCGACGGGGTGCACGGTAACGGCGGCCTCTGAAATATGACGGTTTAATTCGCTGGATGGGGCCCGATCCCCTGCGTTCGTCGCGAAATTAATCGTGGGTGCACCGTTCGGATTGGTTTCCCACCTAATCACCTAACGGTTTAACTCGCGAACGACCCTGTCACACGAATTAGAATTTTAGTCGGCAGGTAGTATGCACTCGAGTCCCATTTGCGTTTATGAACGCGTTAAAATTCATTCGACTGCACGAAGAAGCGAACGACAAACGGAAAAACTACGGCGCCGCTGTTGTTTCCTCTGCTGCAATTTAGAGAACGAGTGAAATGGTCTATCTGAAACAACGGCGAGAGAATCGTCTCCACTTCTAATCTATATCTATACATATAGTTACACGCTGGGTGCTCAAGAAATGTGACCCTGAGAGCACCAATTGACGTCTCTCTGAGGAGATTTAATGAGATGACCGATAAATGAGACAAGTGGTCTCAAAGAAATTGTCAGAGTTGACAATACACGTTGTTATTATTCTATTCGTATTGTTATCTTATTGTGGAACGAATTTCCACGTGGCTGAAGCGTGGACTTATTTCGTACACGCGTTCTAGCAGGCCAATTTACACAAAGGCGATGAGACACGCGTAAAACAGGAGATTCGATGGAGCTCCGCTACACTTTGAATACGCCACGACAACGTTAATTACCTTGTTCGATGCTAATTAATTGCTTATTTTAATATTGCACTCTGTTACAACGATTTTTCGTACAAGATCCATTTAATATCTGTTCCATGAATATATTGGGTTGGCAACTAAGTAACTGCCGATTTCAGTTATAGATGTCTCTCACTCCCATTTTTATGATATCTCTCCGTGAATGTTATATTATAAAATTATTATTATTATTATTATTATGTTATTTTTTATTATCCGTGAATGTTAGCAACTGGACAAATTGAATGCAGCGGTCAAGGAAAAGCGACCAGAATTGGTCGATCGTAAAGGTGTCATTTTCCACCAGGACAAATTGATGGATAAAATTGATGGATATTGGTTGGGAATTGATGTGGTAAAACTTTGAATGACGATGACGCTGTAAAATCTCACTTAACTCAGTTTTTGGCCGGAAAGGGTCAGACTTTCTACGAGCGTGGAATTTTCAAGTTGTCATAGAGATGGCAAAAGGTCATCGAACAAAATGGAAAATACATTACAGATTATAAACTTCGTTCCAAGTAAAAAAAACTTTTTTATTTCATTGAACAAATCGGCAATTACTTATTTGCCGACCCAATACATATAGCGGCCGGATTAAAGTACTACACAGATGCATGGCAAGATGACTGGTGCGCGGCTATATTGGAAAGGCTCGTTGAAAAAGTTTCGAACGAAGCAGTGACTGACCTGATTTCCAAAAACGCCGATGCTGCACGCGCTGCTGACCTGATCCGGGCCGAACCAAACGGCGGCCAAACGCGCTGGAACCGACAGTACAAAGGTTTGGCTCACGGCGACCACTGTTTGCCCGATAAAAGTTAGCCAGAACAGGTCCTGGTTGACGCTGAACACTTTGATCCATGCTCCCACGCAGTTCATGATCGCTCCGAACAGGGCGGCGAACCTCAACCCCTGAAACAGAACATTTGTTCCTGAACCTGTTAGCTCAAGGCTGATAGCGCAAGGCTACTTGTCAGCGCAAATACGCTTCTTCGTTTAGCAATTTCGCGCTTCGCTGCCTCGAAACCAGTTGGTAAACTTCTCCAATTTGCAATTTTTTAAAAGTAATCCCTTTTCGCAGACAGGCATTATTATCGTGTTCTTTTATAAGAGTGATTTTTCGCAGACAGGCATTATGATTGTGTTCTTCTATAAATGCAGTGCTTTTTCGTGGCACCAGCCTGAAGTAATGCGATTAATATTACAGTTCCGGGGTGGCGTAATGCCGTCGTAAGCGGGGTTTTTTAGTGGGTAAGATCCCCACGTACCCCTCGAAATTCTTGCCGCTTCCGGGAATCTTGTTGATTTTCCCCCGCTGTAAAAACCAAAAAAAAGTGCTTTCTCGTAGACAAAGATTATCATAGCGTTCTCTCATAAAAATAGTGCTTTTTCGTAGACGTAGATTATCATCGTGTTCTCTTATAAAAGTAATGCCTTTTCGTAGACGTAAATTATCGTATTGTTCTTTCATAAAAAAATAGTGCTTTTTCATAGACATAGATTGTCACAGTAATCTCTTATGAAAATAATGCCTTTTCGTGAATTATCATAGCTTGCTTTTATAAAAAAAAGATATCACTTTCTCGTAGACATGGATCATCCGTCTTAAAATTGTGTTCCGGAGATTGCATCGAATTTTCGACTGATCTTTTGCCTTCTAACAAAGTTAACTAATTTTTGACGAGATTTATTACATACAAAAATTCACATCGTTCTAGCCGAAATCCTTGCAGGCGAGTTAATTTGGCATTCACTAGAGAACTGTTTTCAGAAAAAGCGATTTCACGTGTCGCGAAATTACCATATAAGTTGAAAACTGCTCGTAGAAGAACAACGTCTTAATAATAGAAAGTTCCATCCGACATCGGAAAATGTTAAATGCGATGCAATCACGACGACAGAAAGATGTAAAATTGCTTGAACGGGTTCGTCTGTCATTAGAGTTTCGAGTTGATAATTGTGAGACTAACTTCGCTAATTCCGCAAGCAAATTATCTCCGGTAATTCTGAGCTGTTCGAGGCGGAAACTTTTCTTCGTCTCCTCGGCGAGCATCAATCGAATTAATTATCAAACGATTAACTGCGACCGAGCGACGCGAGCGACGCGCGAAACAGACGGAATAAAGTGCAATTTTCGATATCCACGGCTTTGATTCGGCTGTGTCTCGTTCGACAATCGGCTCGGCGAGCGTTGCATGCAATCTGTTTGTCGCTTGATACGATTTTATTGCTTTTTTCCTGTGCCCTCTTATCAAACGACCTTCCAGCAGCGACCAGAGATGCAAGTTTCGTGTTGGTGCCGTGAGATATCGCTCGTCCTGGCGATGCTGGGATCCGATTAGATTACCGGGATCGGTTTTAATTAATATGTACGCGATGTTGACGGCGGCGTGTAATCGCGTGTCAACATGTAAATAAGTTGTAAACGGTGATGCAAGCCTCGTTCTAGAGCTCCTTAACGCGAGTTCGTCGACGCACGATCGGAGCCGCTAACAAGTTTCATTTGATAAGACCGATTCTTAATGACCGTGTCATGTTGTTTGTAGCTTATGCGTGGAACACAATTGCGCGCGTGAAATTGCACGTTCGCGGATCAACTTCTCAGTCTAGTCATTTATTTCGCGGAGCTCTCGTTTCAACAATCGTAAAAGGTTCGTTACGATTTATCGAAGAAATAAAATGGAATTTCAATTTCTTCGTCGCCACTGTTTTCGTGATTGAACATTTTTAAGTAAATTCTCTTTAATTGACGCTCGGATTGTGCGCAAAAATTTCTGACTATTTGTGAAGAAGAGATACGATTATTCGAGCCTTGCACCTCGTTTTTATAATTGTTGACAATGGGCATCGTATCTCTTTTTCCCAAATTGTCCATTTCTGTGTAGAATCTGAACGTCAATTAGAGAGAATTTTTACTGTGCTTCGGAGCCTAATAAATTTTAACTTATTAATTTAAAAGTTGTCGACAATGTCATGAATTTCTAGGTAGCATGCTGTTCGCGGACTATCGCTATTTACGTGACGACATTATTTGATTTATAAATGGTAAATTTGATCGAGTGAGATCGCAGAACGTTTCGACTTTGCACAAAGATCTGCAGTCCGGTTACGATAAGTGCGCGAAATTTGTGACGTACCTTACAATTAGATCTGCCTAAAATGCGATTATTCTGCGATTAAAATACCGCGGCAAGCTAATGCGAACATAACAAAGATTGAATGAACTCGTACGTACGAATTTATCAAGCAGATAGCTCGCCGGGAATATGAACGGAATATAGGTTATCATGAATATCATGCTGGTCATGTCCACCGAAAGGCTGGTCACTTTGTAATAATTCATGATGATGTTTGCGATGATGCTGTACTGGATCCATTGCATCGCGTTGCTGGCGCTGTACACCACGAAGATGATCAGGTTCAGCCATCGCCTTTTGAACACCTTCGTCTCGGCTACCTGCGCACCGAAACACACCTGTTACACACCTCGAATCTCGGTCTCGTTCAATGAAATTTCATCAATGAACGATTAGTAGACGATAAATCGGTTGGATGTTGCACAGTAATAAAACATTTCCTTCAGTTAGTGAAACTGCACTAAATCGAGTTCATTTTTACTACATTTAATTTCGGGCTTGGTAAATGTGCAACCCGCAGCAACATATATAATAAATTAAATATATTTAAAATATCAAATTTTAAAAATGATTTCACACATTAAAAGACGATTTCATTGGAATACAGTTTGGAACATATGTTATATTTAACTACATGAAAAACGTTCACTGCACATGTACGTAACTGTGATTAACTCTTTGCGCTCGGAGATATTCTCTGATCACTTACGAGAACTCGAATGTACTTATAAATAAGCAACGCTTTAGGGAAAATATGATATAATGGAACACAGTGGAGATAATTCTTAAGGGGTTATTTTTTATTCGGATGGTATATTCGGATAATCGAATGATGAATGCGAAGTGAGAGGCGATTTGAAATTGTTATGTGTCGAGATTGCGTGCGTGAAATTTCTATAGAGATTTGCGTTAATGTTTCAATTTACTTTTTAATACGATCAGACTAATTACATTTATTTTCAATTTTGGAAATGCCATAATTACAAGCAGCTTTCCTTTGTCCTCCGAGAGGGGACGCTCGAGTTCAAAGGGTTAACAAGAAGCCAATCACAGTCAGAGATGACAGAATTCTGTATTTTCTCACTAAATAAAAGACGCTATTGAACATAGTCGAGCATATGGCACGATCCGGTACAAGTTGTCAATTCGCGTTCTATTCGAATGACAGCACAATTTGTAAACTGTTGCGCGTGGATCGCGTTCGTGTCCGTAAACAGAAGGATCTGGGCGGCGATCTCGTAAATCCTCTTCCGGAAACGGTGTTTCCTTAGTCACCTGGGTCAGCTGCACGCCGCTCTCCATGGCCTTAACGTAATCCGCGGAACTTTTTGTCATTTTCACCTCCTGTCCTTGCTCCATAATTCGAGGAGGAAAAGGCAGCGACCGACGTCGCGATTGCCTCGGATCAATTACAAGAGACGCTCTCCGACGCTTCTCCTTTAACGCGGTCTCATTCAACTTCGATCAACCGTCCGATTTCCCGGCCGAGTTCACCGCCTGAAAAAGGAGACGAAACGGAGAGGAAAAAAAAATACGTGGGAGCAACTTCGATGCTGTTTCCTCAAAGGAGGACTGACCCTCGAGATTCTTACGAGCGAACTCGAGCTTCGGGAATTCTTAACCTTTTAGGCACGACGCGCCGCTATAGTGGCTTTCGCAGATGTCATCTCTCTGGACGATGCGCCACTATAGTGGCTTGCTCTAGTAGCTCACTCGCTCATCGTCTGAATCAAATAATCGTCTTCATATGCATTGTTTCACACTTCTTTTGTCTTCGCATCGTTTTGCAACAGTCTACAGGGTGTCCCAAAAATGTCTCGCAATCCGGAAATGGCGGGTTCCTCGGATCATTCGAAGCAACTTCTTCCTTTACAAAAATGTTCTCCGAGGCACCGTTAACGAGTTATTAACGAAAAACAGTGACCAATAAGAATCGAGTACGGCCGACGCGAGGCGGCCCAGCCAACCAGCGCGCGAAGCCCAGTTCCGCCCATTGGCTCGATCGCCTCGCGCCAGCCGAGCTCGCCTCTCATTGGTCACTGTTTTTCGTTAATAACTCGTTAACGGTGCCTCGGAGAAAACTTTTGTAAAGGAAAAAGTTGCTTCGAATGGCCCGAGGAACCCGCCACTTTCGGATTGCGAAACATTTTTGGGACACCTCCTGTATATACAGTATCAGACTCTGTACAGTACACATCAG